TCCTTTTTTTTTGCTTAATGGGGTAATTATTTTCCCTCATTTATTATATTTATGACAAAATCAAGTAAATTTGATGTTGTTAACATTCAAATTAGGAAAAATAACTAATGAGAATATGCACATTTATCAAATTTTTGAAGAGAGCACGATGAGCCCATATCATCGCTCCATCAAAAATTTCGATTTAGGGCTTGATTGTTTATGAAATAATTTGTTCAAAATGAGTTATTTTGGTTAACCATAGTTAATTTTGAAAAGGTATTATGGTTAGTTGTTAGTGGGATTTTAAAAATGTATTAAAATAATATTGAAAATAAAATGATTAAAATTGATTTGATATAAAGTAAGAGATAAATGAATGGAAATGATTAGAAATGATAGGTAGTTAAAAATATGTGAGTGGATGAATAGTGAATTAAAGTTGATGTGATATATAAGAATGATTGGTTTATATTATTTAATTATATGAATAATATTAAAGATAATGAAGTTGAGTTAAAATTGAGTTAAATTTTGAGTTGAAATAAAAGTGAGTAAATTAATCCATAAACAAACAAGCCCTTAATCTTCCCGTCTCGAATTACTTATTGAATTAACTAATAAAACAGAGTCGAAGGACTCACTCATTATTTTTTTATTGCAGTAGTATGTATATAAATTTAATTAGTAATCCAAAAACTATATTCATAATTATAATAAATATGTTGTTGGGATTATATTATATTGAAATAGATGACGTGATAAAAAAAAAAAATGTGAAATGAAATTATAATATATTATATTTACGCGACAAATTGTCGTCAAAGACTTTGATGCGTAAGCAATCACACTCATGTGCTATATACCATAGAAGACCGTTAAAATATGCATTTGTGGGACATTAGTTTTTTTGGAGCATAGTATTTTAATTGTTTTTAATGTACAAAATTTTCGAATTTTATAATAGCCTAGCATATGTACTAACACTGTTGCTTTTCATGCGAACAAGAAAACTGAACATACTTACAAAAACTGGTTTGGTAATTCCAATCTACAGTAGTTGGAATTAATTCTCTGAGTAATTGGTCAATGGTGAGTAAGTTATGTTCTTTTTATAAAAATATTTGTACCAATTTATTAATACAATCATATTTTATTTATCTTATGTTTTGTAAAGTAAGGCATTTGATGATGGAGGTGTGTATATCAAATAAACAAGTGTGGTTGTGACAACTAAACAATTTTAAAAAACTTATTATTTTGCGTAAGGCTACATTCCCGTTACAAAATGGGATTTGTAATCGTTAGATGCACATCTATATTAGTGTAGCATGTGTATCGAAAGGTTACAAATCCAGACGGAATGATTTCGTAACGGGATTGTAGCATTTTCCTACTATTTTTTATTGATTCGGGATTACAAGACTTTTTTTTTTTTATGAAAAGTGAAAAATTCAATCCAAAAGAGTGAAAGTAAGTACATGATAGTTTCTAAAGTTATACAAATAGACTGTACGTATCAATTAAATCAAGCAAAAACTAAAAAGATATAAAAGCTAAAAAGGGCAAAAAAAAGAAGACAGAGGTTTGAGGATAAATCTAAACCTTTGTGCCTGAACCCAAGCAGCTCTAAAGTAGACATACATACATGCCAATACTC